TATATATATATATATATATATATATATATATATATATATATATATATATATTTGCATATAAAATAGTATGTAAAAATTCATATAATGGTCTTGTGGGAAGTGAATAATAAGGAAGTGAATACCAGGAGTGAATAATAATAGATCTATCTATTATTATTAGATCTATCTATTATTATTAGATCAATCTATTATTATTCACTCCCGATATGACTATATCTATCCTTCTGAAAGAGTAGGATTTAATCAGGAGTGAATAATAATAGATTTATCAGATCTATTCAATAGATCTATTAGTATTCACTCCTGATGTAATGATAATAACCAGCAGTGATGTTGTCACCGGTCGAACGCTCACTCATTGCATGCACTAGCAGCGGATGGCTGCTATACTTTATAAAGTAAAATAATAATTCATAAATGAATTTTTCATTTATAATAAATGAATAAATAATAAATAAATATCATGTAAATAAATAAATTAATTCATTTATAATAAATGAATAATTCATTCATAAATGAATAAGGTGATCGCGTCTCATCGAGGAATTATATGCCGAAATTTTGCGACGCATTTATTCTTCGCTGCGACAATTTCGCGTTGAATATGACCACCAAACCGAATTAAACCATAATAGCCTATTGGCTATCGGGTGCGGAAATAATGCGTATACATAAACTTCAATTGAATTCCTTTCAATTAGCATTTAGAACACAGGTAACAGGATGGGCGGTCTCTGTAGATTATAGGCGGCCAGCCCACAAGCCACCGGCTATTGTCATCATATCGCTGCAATCCCCTCGCGGTGCACGCCGTCAGCGTAGATCGCCGCTATTTGATTTCTTTCTATGTGGTCACGCAACAATCTTGGCCTACATCGAACAGCTATCCGACCTTGGAAGGAGGAGGAGGAGGAGGAGCAGGAGGGGGAGAAGGGGGAGAGTTATACCTCCGCGTTTCTTTGGTCAGTGCGTTCAGCCGGGTACGGTTTATAGCGTTCGTGGCGGTTCTACGTCAATGCTGCGCAGTTTTTAATGATTCAAAGAATTTAAAAAAAGTCAGTCTGAAATGACACACGAAGTGCTGTCATGTCTCTGGTCGAATCAAAATCTTTTTTCGACCTTTTTATGGTAACATTTTAATAATAATATTTCTATGTCGCGAAGCTGATATAGAGAAATAATTTATTAATAAATGGTGTGTAAATTTATAAACTGCATTGTGGGAATATCTCGTTTTGTGACATTCACCGCACTTGCTGTGATTCGTTGTACTATAACTAGTACGAGGTAGTGCGGTTAAGCACCTAGGGTGCTCGCTGTTACGCGTGAACGTAATTAGTATAGCGTTGTAGGTAAGAATTCGTGTTCACAATTTTAGATTCCTCACAATTGTGTGTAAAGAAAATTATGCAGAATTTATAGGTATTTGATTTTCGATGTGACTTCGTGTTTATTAATCTCGCAAAGCAGACTAATCCAACATTATACAATAAACACGATATATTATCAAGTCACATCATCATATAATCACCCTCATCATTAGCACTGCCATCGTCGTCATCGGCATCGTCAACGTCGTCATCATCGTCGTCATCATCATCGTCGTCATCATCATCATCATAGCCATCGTCGCCATCGCCATTACGGCGCCCTAGTCGATGCGCATATTGCAGCGTCTCTATTATATATATATATATATATGATCTAATATAATGTATCTATAATATCTATATCTATATTATATATATACATATATAATAAATATAAATATATATATAGTAGTATCTATATAGTCTAATCTATATATATATCTATAGTATATGTTATATAAATATATATATCTATAATATATATAATATGTATTTAATATATCTCGCTGAGTATAGGCGCGGCACACGTTTACAATACTCACAATAACCGCGTGCAGATTGTACGGCCGCGCGCGTGACCGTAGGCATCACTATTATACCACCCGCAATAGTGACGGGTTAATAACCCAGATTTCGTGTATCCTAAGTCCCATGACAGCTGGTTGCGTACACAAAAGACCCGCTGCTGTAGGTCGGCAGTAAAAACCGCGACAACGTTCACGGTGGCATCACACCGCCAGCCGCAAGCTCATATCCCCGCGAACAATATTGACACTGGAGTTTTCCATAATCAGGACATTAAACAAAGGCGAGGGGAAATTCGGTTGGTTAAACAAGGGGTTTAACCGCTTTGCACCTGCAAATGTTCGTCTCTCGGTGCTATTTTGCACTTCCTGGACCACGGCCGCGCAAATGAAGATCTTGTAACCAGTTTGAATACAGCTCGAAGTGCGCGTATTTTGTTTACACAATACATTAAATGGATATTCCTGGCACGTTTTGCGACGAATAATATAACAGTGTTAACGATATATATATCTCAGCAATTCCCTCTAGTTGAATATTTGCGTATCTGTAAAACAATTCACTGAAGCGAATATGGCAAATCTAAAAGCAGTCGTCAATCGTTCTACGACACCCGACTGATCTGACAGCAGTCTGTCACATTGAAGACTGCAATTGACACGTCGTCAGAT